TTCCGCATCCCCCCCCTTGCTAGCCAGCGCGCCCCTTCGCCCCGACCCTTTTATTTCGGCGCGCCACCCCTTCCACCCCGCGCGCCCCCTTCCGCATCCCTCCAGTCAGCGCGCCCCCTCCACCCCGACCTTTTGATTCTCTTGCGCCGCGCGTTTTTTTCGGCACGGCACCGCCCCCCCCATCTCGCTCGCCACCTCGGCACCACCCCGCCCGCTCTGCCCGCCAGCCAGCGCGCCCCCTCTGCTCCGACCACTTAATTTCGGCGCGCCCCCTTCCACCCCGAACGCCCATTCCGCGTTGCCCCGCCCGCCAGCCAGCGCGCCCCCCCGCTCCGATTTCCTTTATTTCGGCACGGCACCGCCCCCCCCCGCCCGAGCGCCCCCTCTGCGTCGCCCCGCTCGCCAGCCAGCGCGCGCCCTCCGCCCTGACCCCTTCGCTTCAGCGCGCCCCCCCCCCCCCATCCTGCGCGCCCCCCTCCGCGCCCCCCCCCAACTAGCCAGAGCGCCCCGTCCGCCCCGGCCTCTTATAGTTCGGCGCGCCCCCCCCCCCTCCCCCCCCTCCGCGCGCCACCTCCGCGTCGCCCTGCCCACCAGCCAGCGCGCCCCCTCCGCCTCGTTCGGCACGGCACCGCCCCCCCGCCCCCTCCCGCGCGCCCCTTCCGCATCCCCCCGCCCGCCAGCCATGGCGTTCCCTCCGCCGTGGCTCCCCTCTTATATTGCACAGTTGTTGTCTAGAGCTCGGACCTCTTCATTTTCGTTCGTCGTCGCCCCCCAGGTCCTGGCACTGGACCCCCCCCCTTGTTTTGGCCCTAGCGCCCCTCGCCCCGCTGGCCGCGGCCCTGGATCCAGTCTCTTCCCCTGGCCCTGTCCCCGGCCGCCCTCGCGCCCGACACTTTATTTTCGTTTGTCGTCGTCCCCCTGGCTTTGGCCTTGGACCCAGCTTTCCCCCGTGGTCCTAGCCATAGCCCCCCTCGTCGTCGCCCCCTCTGGTCCTTGTACTGGACCCAACCTCCCCCCTTGGTTTGGTCCGTAGCTCCCCTCGCCCCGCTGGCCCTGGCCCCGGAACCAGCCTCCCCCCCTTTGGCCCTGGCCCAAGCACCCCTCGCGCCGGACCCTTTGTTTTCGTTCGTCGTCGTCCCTCCTCGTTCCTGGGACCAGCCCACCCCTACCGGTCCTAGCCCCGGCCCCCCTCGTCGTCGTCCCCTTGGTTCTTGCACTGGGCCCAGCCTCCCCCCTCGGTTTTGGCCCTAGCCCTTCTCGCCCCGCTGGCCCTGGCCCTGGACCCAGCCTCCTCACCTGGCCCTGGCCCCAGCCTCCCTTGACCTGGACTTTTTATTATCGTTCGTCTTCGTCCCCCTGGATCTGGCCCTCGACCCAGCCTCCCACCCTGTCCCAGCCCCAGCCCCCCTCGTCGTCGCCCCATTGGTCTTGTCTTTCGACCCGGCGCCCTCCCCTGGCCCTGGCTCCAGCCCCCGTCGCCCTGGACCCTTCATTTTCACTCGTCGTCGTACCCCTAGCCCTGGCCCTGGACCAAATCTCCTCCCATCCCCCCTCGAGCCGGAACCTTTATTTCCGTTCGTCGTCGTCCCTGGACCTGGACCCAGCCTGCCCCGCTGGTCCTGGCCCCAGCCCCCCTCGCCCCGCTGGCCCAGTCCCTTTTCCCAGCCTCCCGCCCTGGCCCGGCCTCGAAGAAATCTACCGCGCCTGAGCTGTCAAAGAAACCCATCGAGCACGTCCCAATCGACAACCGCTGATTCAACAAAGGGGCGCCCTGACCCCACCTGCCCCTCCTCGTCCTCCTCCTCCTCCCCCTCCTCCTCCTCCTCCTCCTCTTCTTCTTCCTGCTTGTCTCCTCGATTTCCCACCTGCGCCTCCTCCTCCTTCGCTCCTCAAATATACAAGAGCCAGAGCACGCGCGCCATTTGTTTTTATGGGAGAGGATTGGAGGAGGAGGAGGAGGAGGAGGAGCAGGAGGAGAAGGAGGAGGAGGAGGAGGATGAGGCGGAGGAGGAGGAGGAGGAGGGAGGCGGAGGAGGAGGAGGATAATAGAGGAGGAAAAAGGAGTAGGAGGAGGAGGAGGAGGAGGAGGAGGAGGAGCAGGAGGAGGAGGAGGACGAGGAGGAGGAGGAGGAGGATAGAGGACGAAAGAGGAGGAGGATTCGGAGGAGGAGGAAGGTCGTATTCTCGCCCCGTCGGATCTCAGGTGAGGGGGTCCAAGACCGGCGCACCTGTCCTCCGAGCCAAGCTGGGAGGGCACGTGCACCAGTCGTGGGGCCCAGGCGTGGCTTGCGTCCCGCCAGGATCGGGGCGGAGGTGAGCATCTTCGGACGGAGGAGGAGGAGGAGGTGGAGGAGGAGGAGGAAGAAGAACATGAAGAAGAGGAGGAGGAGGAGGGACTCGTGTGCACCGTACAGTCGGACCGATGTATAAGATCGAGGTCGATTCGGGGATTTGTAGCCCAATGGTCTTCGGACATATGGTCCCGGGGAGGATGCTGTTGGATGTTATGTGTGTTTTGGCCGGCGGGGGATCTCATGTTCCTGAAGGGTGTTCTTCCGGCCCCGGCCCGACTGCATCGCGAGGGCGTCCTCCGGAGTCGTCGATCCTCGACCCATAAGTGTGCGGTGCGTAGCTTCTCTGCACTCGGGGTCGACGGGCTGTGCACCTTGCCGCGGTGGAGCGGGGCCTGAACAGAGTGCAGAGATGTGCGGTGCATAGGCGCCGGTACCGTAGTATAGTTGGCGCCCTCCGAGAGGGTCCTGGCTCGGTGGGGCTCCCCGCAGCGCGCGCGCCTCGCTCTTTTTTCCGGCCATCTTGAGTGCTGGTACGCCTGCACCCACTGGGCGGTGTCTCGGCGCGCAAGGTTTTGGGCTAGTGGTAGGTCTCTTTTAAGGTGGTCGAGCAGCCGCTCCCGTGCGGGAAGTGGTCTGCCGCGGAGGGCGGTAGTGAAAACGTGCGAAGGCGTGTGCTCCAGGCCTGGAGTCTTGCCAATGCATCGGCGATGCGGCTTGATTTGGAGCCCGATCTTCTCCATCCCGCCGTCGCCGATGCCTTGGCGAGGCGGTGCGGTCCTCCGACCCCATCTACTCGGATCATTTTCAAGGCGCCTCCATGTGCACACGCACGGCGCATGCGCCGCTGCTGCACGCAATGGTATTATCTGAGCCGCTACATGATTTGCGATCGATCTGCAGCGATGTGCCATGCACCACATCGGTGAGACGTACGACTTCCTCGTGGTGTGTGCTAGGCACCAGTGATGTACACTTGCTTATCTTCAGCGACTCTACCCACCTCCAAGGATCGCTCGAGTCACAGCGCGCTTGGGCGGATTAGACATGTGCGCTTGTGTGAGGTAGATATTTTCTTGGGTCTATTTGATCCTCTGCATTGAACCTCAACGAAGGAGGAGTATGATGCTGCTGCTGATGATGATGATGATGATGATGATGCGGATGATGCTGATGATGATGATGATGATGATGCGGATGATGATGATGATGATGATGATGATGATGATGATGATGATGATGATGATGAGGATGATGCGGATGATGATGATGCTGATGATGATGATGATGATTATGATGATTATGATGATGCTGATGCTGATGATGATTATGATGATGATGATGATGATGATGATGCTGATGATGATGATGATGATGATGATGATGATGATGCTGTCGCTGATGATGATGTTCATGATGAGAAGGAGGAAGGATAAGGAGGAGGAAGAGGAGAAGTCGGAGGAGGAGGAGGAGGACCATGATGACGACGGCATGCTGGGCATCTCAGCATCGTGACGCGTTTTGAGAGCTCTCCGACTTATGCTGAAGACATTGCGACATAGTTTTGTTCTGAGCAAGTTGTCCTCCATGCAGTCAGTGGCATGCAAGTGCACACATGGCGTGAGCATTGTGGAAACGAGAAGTACGACAACGGTCAAAATGACGGCGACGGCGCGAATCTATCGTATAACCATGCAGGCAACGCTCGCGACGACACCGGGGCGCAGATGTAGCTGGAGCGCATGTACCACCGCTTCCGAGAGGCCATCGATGACATGAGCCTCCCTTCCTCGATTTCTTCGTTCCGTCCCCCACAACTCCTCCTTCCCTTATCCCCCCTCTCATCCACCGTCCCCCCTCCTCCCCATCCTCCCATTCCTATCCCTTTTCTCCTCCCCTTCTCCTCCTTCCTTTCCTCCTCCTTCTCCTCCTCCTTCTCTTTCTCTATCCCGTCGAGGACGCGAACACGTTGCGTCTCCAATGATGAGCTAATGGAAACCAATCAGGCTCCCGGCACCCGTCTCGTAATGAGCGAGAAAGGGGGCCGAGGAAGGGCCTTCCTCCTCCTCCTTCCCCCCTCCTCCTTCGCCCCTCCCTCCCCCCTCCCCCTCGTACGCGTCATGATGCTGCGCCCTGGTATCTGCGTGCACGTTTCCGTTTTCAGTGGATGGCGAGGGCTGCTTCGTGCTGCTGCCGCCGCCTGCTCGGGGGGCGGCGGGGGGTGCTGTCGGGCGTCCCGTCCCTGCAGGCCTGTCTCGAGTGTTCAGAGCGTTGCCAGGCTTGGGCCCTCGATCCTCAGGCCTCCATCCTCTATCCTGAAGCCTCGATCGCCGATTCCCCTCCGACCCTCGCCCTGCAGGGGGGGGGGGAGAGGGGAGGAGGAGCAGAAGGATGAGGAGGAGGCCGAGGTGGGAGGAAGAGGAGGAGGAGGAGGAGGAGGAGGACGAGGAGGAGGAGGAGGAGGAGGAGGAGGATGGGGAGGAGGAGGAGGAGCAGGAAGAGTTATTCTTAGTGTATGGCGTTGCGATTGGGTGAGAAGGACGCACTAGTTTCACACATGTTACGCCTTCCCAGCGTATTCGTTTCGGCCTGCTTTCAGTGGTCGTTACCGACGCTGTTTGGGTCAAGTACTGTTCCTTCCAGGGAATCGAAGACGCCTACGGCGAATTACCGCCGCCCCCTGCCTTTATGGAAGCGACTATGTGGCCGAACGTTGAGGCCAGACCTGCCAAGCTATCGGACCATGTGTTCCTCGAATCGGTTTGGAAAGCCTTCGGGGAACACGTGGGCATCTTGAAGGTCATCTTGGCCGTCTGGAGGCCATTTTGACCCTTTCGGGCCTTCTTGGAGGACGTCTTGGAGGGCTCTGGGGCTGTCGTGGAGGCAATCTTGAGCGTCTTGGGGACCTCTTGGGCCGTCTTGGGGGCTTCTTGGGGCTGTGTCTTGGGCCTCTTGGGCGATCTTTGGGGGCACTTGGGCAGTCTCGGGCCGTCGGAAGGCAGAAAAAAGAGCAAATGCCACAATCCTTCACAGACCCATGGGACATCAATTTTTTTGTCGCTTCGGGCCTTCCTGGAGGCCCTCTTGGAGGCTTCTTGGGCTGGTGGGCTCCGTTTGGGGGGCCTCTACTGGCCAACTTGGGGCCCTCCTGGAATGCTCCAGGGCCGTCTGGGAGGCCCATCTCGGGCGTCTTGAAAGGCCTCCTGTGCCGTCTTGAGGGCCTCTTGGGGCCGTCTTGGGGCCCTCTTGGGCCGTTCCGGGGCCCTCTTGGAGGCCTCTTGGGCGATCTTTCGGCGATCTTCGGGAGCTCTTGGGCCGTCTCGGGCCGTCGGAAGGCCGACGAGAAGCAAATGCCAAAATCCGTCAAAGTCAAGGAACATTCATGTTTTGGGCCTCTTCTGGCCTTCATGGAGGCCCTCTTGGGGGCCTCTTGGGCCGTCTTGGGCCAGCTTCGAGCCAACTTCGGCCATCTTGGTGTGTTCCTGGCACGTCTGACGCCGTCGGGAGTCTGTCTTGGGGGCCTTTCTGGGCCGACTTGGGGCCCTCTTGGGGCGCTTCGGGGCCGTCTTGGAGGCCATCTTGGGCGTCTTGGAGGCCATCTTGGGCGTGTTGGAGGCCTCTTGGGCCGTCTTGGGGCCCTCTTGGGGCCGTCTTGGAGGCCACTTGGGCCGTCATGGGGCCGTTTTGGGGGCCTCTTGGGCGATCTTGGGGGCTTCTTGGGCCGTCGCAAAGCCGAAAAGGCGCAAATGCCAAAATCCTGCAAAAACCCAATGAAAATCAATGGTTTTGGCCCTTCCGAGCCTTCCTGGAGGACGTCTTGGAGGGCTCTTGTGCCTTCTTGGAGGCCTCTTGCGGGCCTGTTGGGCCGTCGTAGACCATCTTGAGGCAATCTTAGGCCGTCTTGGATGCATCTTGGGGCCATCTTAGCCGTCGTCTTGGAGGCAATTTTGGGCCGTCTTGGAGATGTCCTGGAAACCATCCTGGGCCATCTTGGCCGTCTTGGACGCCATCTTGGGCCAATTGGAGGAAACAGAGGCACGACGGATGCGTTTTGAGCGCCTTTCCGGGTGGCCGGCGGGACGGGCTGGAGCCCCAGGGGAGTTCTTTTGGACAAAGAATCAAAACCAAAAACCATATAGTCTGGCACACCGGGCACCCCTTTGATCAATCAAAAAGGGGTGGCGGAACACGCCTTCGGCCCATCCCGCCACCGTGCCTGGGTTGTGGAATAGAGGCCTCTTGGATGTTCGTTTGGATATCGTGGGAGGCCTCCTGGGGGCCTCTTGGAGAGAGTTTTTTGGCATCATGGGATCCGTTTGGGGCCTCGTGGGTTTTTTTTTTTTGTTTCTAGGGGCCTCGTGGGGCCTAGGGGGCCTCTTGGGCTATCTTAGATGCCTCAGGCTCGAACTGTCGGTTTGTGTTCTCCCTGTTGGGTCCCTCTTGGGGCCGTCTTGAGGTGATCTTGGGCGCCTCTTGGGTCGTCTGGTGGGAAATGGAGAGGAAATACCAAGACAGACACCCACGCGGCTCATGATTAACAGTCGTCGCGATCTTCAAGGTCAGCGCCGACACATTGAGTTCACTTGGTGCGGCCGAGCGAGGAGATCATAGGCATACCTTGACCGACTATGTCGAGCTATATTCTAGGGCTTGGTGAAACAGATGACGGCCGACGACGGCCGACTAGGGTTCTCTTTCAAAGCCTGCGGCCCGAAAACTTAATGGAGCGAACCAGAATAAATAATACTTGAAAGCGAGAAGATGGCGGCACTTCCCGCTTGATGCCCCCGGGAAGCTCAGGGTCGACATCGACGTCATGCCTGCGCAAAATTATTCAGGACTTGGGCACAGGCATGTACTCGAGGACAGGGGGTTCAGTGCAATTAAGTGGACAAGAGCGTGCGAGAGAGTTCAGAGGGCGAACGCATAATATTGCCACCAGTTTTAATTGCCGGGCGGCGCAGGACGTCCAGCTGCACCAATGGATTTGTGGAGCGTGCCGTCACTAGGGCTGGTTGAAAGATCCAGGGGTTTGCGAGGGGCGTGGAAGTTTTGCAGTCACCGGGGAGGACATATGCTGCGCCCTCCGCGAAGATGGTCAAGCGCGTGCTCGGGGCGATGCATCAGGGAGCAAGCTCGAGCCAGAACTCACGTCAAAAGCTCGGGGGGAGGAACTGGGGCAGTTCATGAAGCACGAGGTCTGTTCCTGGCAAACTCACAAGAGGTGCAAGGTGTATTGGTCTCGATCAAGGCGACGAGGCCAATCCTGAGTGCCGATCCCGGCTTGTGGCTTAGAATGTTGAGTTGAGTACAATTCCGAAGAAATCATCATGTGCGCAGCCACCCTATCCATTGGAAGCTCTCAACTGCGATTGCCAGAGGCAGTTGCCCAGGGATCAGGGCGTGACCAAGGGGGCGCGAGAAAGGACTCAAGCTTGGATATATCGCTGTTAAGCCGGGCATACCTGTACGCCAAATTTAGTGCACCATTCTCATGGGACTGCCCGAGGAAGTTCGCGAACGGGGCATGAGTGGAAGACCATTATAACAACCCATGCGCGGCATTTGGCACGCCGCCAGCAAGTGGCAAGGTTGTTCCGTGGACTTTGCACGCGGCGTTGGTTGCGACAGCGGGAAGGCTTCGCCGCGTGTGTTTTAACGGATGGCGCGGTGACTATGGCCCGCTGTTCACGGAGGCGGTTTCACTTCAGCGGGCGGGGGGTGATCTCGATCTAGATTTTTCGAAGGAGAAGTCGCAAAGACACGCGAAGGTTCGAACGGGGGTAGACTCGGACCAGGGCCGACATCTTTGATGACAGTCAGGATTTACAGCCATTTTGCGGCACGGGGCCGATCTGGGCGACGGCGTGAGCCGGGCCAAAAGCACGCGGAGATAACTGTTAGAGAATCAGGCCTGCCAGAGGCAGTGCCAGGTGATGCGCGCGATGCCAGGAGAAGAGTTGCCCGGCGAAGCAGAATATGAAGAGCCCCTTCACCACGCCGCGAATGTAAGCGCGACCAAGCTTTGGTGGCCAGGGGGAACTCTCTGGCGCCAGACCGCTCGAATGTGCTGTTCTCAGCCACTGACTTTGCACGCTCTATGTCAGCCCCAACCTTCAGGGCGCTGGCAAATTTGGCATAACTTGGCGTTTCCCTGCAGAGCCACGACAGGTGTGGGTATCAGTATTGGTATCAAGATCGTCTTATGTCGTTAACCCTGTGGACCAACGCCGGCCATGCTGGGTGCGTGAAAAACACGTTGTCCACAAGCGGAGGAGCAGTAATGTGGGGGTCATATGTAATGACGTCGTGGAGCTCGACCCAAGGCGTCGCGGCACTACCCCCCAGGAGTAGAGCATCGCGGCTCAGTAGCTTTAGGGCTTAAGCAGCGTTCAAAGATTTCGACGTTGCGTTGATCGAGGCATCTCGTTAAAGAGCAATGCCGGCGCGGCCGTCGCAGCTGCGAGCCGGCGCGGGCCAGGAATAGTCGGACGCACCGAGGTTCGCCAGTTTCGGTGACGAGAGAAAGCGCGACGAGGAGGCGTCGAAGGAATCGAAGGAGGAACCCGTGATAACCCTGCAGATGTTTGAACGAAATACGCGATCAGGGACAGCATGTCCATGCGTATGCGATGCGCCAATCAACGCGTTGTTATTGGAAGACGCAAGCTGGGCCCGACCACGGAATGTCAGATCAAACCGCGTTCGGTTCATCGTTGGTCGCCATTTGGCTGGAGAGCGCAGCGCGGGCCAGTTAAGATCC